TGTTATTTATAACTTCTACCAAATTAAAGTACAAAACGGAGTATAATATTATATTATAGTAGTTACTAGCTTCTGTCAGCGTGTTCGCTCGCGGTCCCGTGGAATAAAAAATGTTATTCCAAACTATAATACCACTGTCCCAAATTTAATACCGATTCTTTCTGTACTTTCGACGTGAAGGAGCAATAAACAAACTTTCATATTTATAATATAACTAGCTTCTGCCCGCGACTTCGTACGCGCAATCCCATTTTCTCCCGTTCCCGTAGGATTTCCAGGATTTTTTTTGTTTAAAGAACCTTGTCATAATAATAACAAATAGAACAAAAAAAAGAATAAGTGAAATCGGTTCAGCCATTCACGCGTGATCCTGTGACCAAGGAAAAAAGGGATTAATTTTAATATATAGAAGACGTAGCAGGATTATATTATAGTACCTATCCACGCACACATTGACAAAAGGGCTTGCTCCATCTGTATAAGGCTCGCACACACGTATCCAGAGTCATTGGACGCAAAGCGACCTTGCCGGGGTCAACGAACTGAGACCAAAAATGGCTGCGTAACTTGATACCAGTACCGTATCTTCACGGACTTTCAGGAATTGGGGTCTAATAGAGTAGAGTGCGGTTATGAAGTTGGTTGGTATTTTTTGTGGGACAATTTTATCTAAAATATTGTTAATTGAACTATGTTTAAAAAAACCGACCTAAAACTCCTTTTATTTTCCTTTTGAAGATGGTTATATATATAAATAAATAAATAATAAAAAAAGCCTTACATTTCCAGTTTACAAATTAACTTAAAAATATTGTTTCCTATCTATAAATATAATAAAGTGTTTAGTTAACTAAAGAATAAAAAATAAATAGATAAGTAATAGAGAAAATTTAAATCTTAAATTAATAATAAAGTACGTTAACTATACTAAAGAATGCTCCTGATTGTAACGAACACGTTTCTGGAATCCACATCAAAATTGGTTGAGTCAAGCGAGATAATCGCAGTCAAATATATACATGAATACAGGAAAAACGAAGAACTTCCTTAAGATTTTTTGAAGAAGGTTAAACAATGCAATGATTTGCAATTTATGATTCTACTAGCTTTTACCCGCGGCTTCGCTCGCGTCATAAAAGATAAAAGTAGCCTATGTGACATATACCAATACACACAACGCCATCTATACCAATACTTTTGTTTTCCCTCGGGAATATCATATTTATCCAGGATAAAAAGTACCCTTTTATTATATCCGGACTTTTAACTTTACGTCTGCAAAATTTCAAAGCAATCGGTTTAGTAGTTACGGCGTGAAAGTGGAACAAACAAACAAACAAACTCACTTTCCGATTTATAATATTATATAGTAAGGATTAGAGTATTTTATCATACCTTTAATTCAATTATTATTGTATTGTACACTAGCTAACCAAGCGAACTTCTTAACGCTAAAAACAATCTAAATCAGTCAAATCGTTTCAGCCGTTCTCGAGATTTAGCGGGACTAACGAACGGATTCATTATCATTTATATAGATTTTGATAAACTGTGCTATTCCAAACAAAAGCCTATCTTATTAACTCCTCATTACTCAAACTCAAAGGTTGAGGCGTCATGCACACATACATGTACTACAGTCGGTGGCGCTGTGTGTTGGGTTGTTCCGTTCCCAATAAAAAGGTTGACCGGACCAATTGCTGACACACACGCCATACTCGTGAACGGGTGCCTTCTGCTGGGTTAGGTCGGCTCTCCCATCTTGTTGATGGGCTGGTTTCATGAAGCCTTCGAAATAGAAATATATAAATAATGCCTTATTATTATGTAACCTATACTTTTGGTAATAAATAGAGATGTAGTTAATTGTAGTGTGTAACTAGGTACCCTCTTTATTTTATAAAAATTGTTTAGAAGTATTATAATAAAAAAAAATTATGACAAGGGCACGGACCTAGAGTCCGTGGAGAATTAATCTGTAATATTATTTAACTCGTCGAGTACCGTCATTATAGACACAATTATAGAACAATAGGTTGCGGTCACCGGTGACCGCTTGGTGTTTGACAGTTTAAAAAAAACTCCTCATTACAGCTGAAATTCAAATAACAATATGCTAGGTGTATCTATGCAGATTCCAATGTCCTGACTAAATTGTTGTCAAGCAAAAACCTAACCTATTTCTTTATTGTTACAGCTCAAATCGAAATAATACCATGCAAGGTGTGTGGAGACAAGTCGTCAGGAGTCCACTATGGAGTGATCACCTGCGAGGGATGCAAGGGATTCTTCAGAAGATCACAAAGCACAGGTCGGCTTCATTTGTACTTCTCTATAATCAACTTTATTTCCTTTAGTTTAAAGTTGTTTTTTGTTTACTGATAGTTATATTAAGTTATATATATTGGTGTCTAGTAATTTTAAAAGCTCTGGGCCTAATTAATATGCTATTTAATTTTGGCTTGATGCTGTATCTACAATTAACTCGTCGAGTACCGGTTTTGTAGACACAATTATAGAACAATAGGTTGCGGTCACCGGTGACTGATTGGTGTTTGACAGTTTAAATGGACGCAACTTTTTACTATGAAATAATTAAAGCATAGTCGTGATAACAGATTATCTCCCAGCTTGTCTGATTTCCAGGCAGACTTATTTAGTTATACAACTTATACTCATTGGCACAGTGACTGGCTACTGTGCTACGTGTCGCGGGTTTGATTCCCACACGTAATAACTCTTTGTGTGATATCTGTCTTAGTAAAAATTCTGCACCAGAGATAACGCCACGCCTTTTATCCCCGAAGGGGTAGGCAGAGGTGCACATTACGCCACTGTATTCACATTGTTGTAACATTATGTTATGAGTCCCATGTAATAGGGGGTGAGCCTATTGCTATATACCGGGCACAATTCCAGACTCCGTGCTATCACTGACTTTTTTTTTAATAACCCAGTAGTACTTTGGCCGACCCGAGAATTAAGCCCGGCAGTCGCACTAGCGACCACTCGGCCAACGAGGCAGTCATACATATTTTATACATAGCTACAGTACATCATACATATTTTTATTTCGTTTAAATTATCATGAAACAGTACCTATAGCTTTAGTCAGACGGATCACCTGATGGTAAGCAATCGGCGTCGCCCATGGACACCTGGAACACCAAGGCGTTACAAATGCGTTAGGAGTTTGAGGATTGTTAAGGATTCGGGGATTCGGGTAGTGAGGTTGGTGATAATTGGGCCTCCGGTAACCTCACTCACACGACGAAACACAACGCAAGCGTTGCTTCACGTCGGTTTTCTCCTCAGCCGTGGTATCACTCCGGTCGAGCCGGCCCATTCGTGCCGAAGCATGGCTCTCCCATACTTAAAGTCCTATGTAATAAGGGATGAGACTATTGTGTTGCACCTACCATAGAACACCTTATTGTTAACACATTGAACGCCATGGGGGTCACTGGTGTCCGGCGACGTTAACAAAAGAGACTTCAACAGTTTTTTATTGGCAGTCAAAACTTATTAATTTAATACTAAAACGTCACATTTTCACTACATTTCAGTAATAAATACTAACTCTATTCAATATTTTCCAGTTGTGAACTACCAGTGCCCGCGAAACAAAGCGTGCGTGGTTGATAGAGTGAACCGAAACCGCTGCCAATACTGCAGACTACAGAAGTGCTTGAAACTCGGAATGAGTCGAGATGGTAAGTCCTACCTTTTAAAATGACAACCCGACCTTGGGTGGGGTTGCTTAACCTTATGATTGAGTCAAGTATTATTGGGGTATGTCAGTTGTGTGGTGGTATACATACATAAGAAAAAGTAGCGTCTTTCATACTTTTCGCTGTTTATGTTAGGATTCCCATGCAATTAAGCACGTTCCTATGTCCACTAGTCATATATTAATACACTCCAAAACTTAAAAAAAACACAAGGTTTTTCAATCCGAGAATCGAACTCCATACTCAACAGTTACTAACACAATCACTAAAGAAAACACACTATAAATAGACACAATAATACACACACACACATTCCAATAAAACACACATTAAACAAAAATAATAATACACAATAAAAACAGTTCCATTTTTAAATCAAAAATGAGTTGAATAAAAGAATGTGTTCACCTTAGAGCACGTGTGTGTGGTACAAGGAAGCGAGTGGCGGGTCAACGACCTCTTATCGCAACTGATAACGTTATGTTTATACTACATAAGTGTTCAACGCAAGTTTATTATGAGAAAATGTGATGTAGAAATTGTAACTAAACGTAATCATTTATATTGGAGAGCAATGTTGCTGGGCAAAGGAATTCTAGGGAAAAATTATTGGGGTTGGTTTTCAAGTGATTTCGGATGGGAATTTTTGTCCACTGCTGGACTAAACTTTTGATATTAAGGCCAGTGCTGGACTAAGGTTCTTATTGCTTATGTTACAAAATTGACAAATAATAAAAAAAAAACATGTATATTTTAATAGTAAATCGTAATAGGTAGGTACTAGATAGTGACAATCAGAAAAAATATACAATGTAATAGTTCCATTTATGAGCTACTAATGCCATCTGTTATCGATTTTCCTAAAACATTTTTTATGAAGTTCTTTCATAATAATTTAATGACTGATTCAGAAACACTTCTCTTACAAGTCATATTATAATATTTTTTTTGTTGAACTCTTCCCGTTTCTTATATATGTACATAAACGATAAATTCAAAATCAAGATAAAACAGCAGTAACAAAAAAAACAAAAAAGCTAGCACTTACAAAAAACGCAATCACCCTTTCCGTGACATCACCGCCCTCTGTATTTTAAACCCAACAATAATTTTAAAAGCATACTTAGTAACATACATAGAACTTGTCACGCCAAATCGCGTGCACATAGCGAGTCGTCGCCGACGCGTGCAATGACGACGGACGACTTGTTGCGCAATCCACGTAACAACTTACAATAAGTGCAGAGAGGCATCGGTTTTGACGAAAATTATCGATAAGTATTCTAAAATTATCGACAGTAAAACAAATGTTAATAGTAATGAAACTATCGATAAACTAAACATTTTTTACTCCAAATTTCTAAGATTACTTATAAATATATTTCTTTGCCTCGTTCTTATTGCCATTCAAAGATCGTTCATTCCCTTATAATCTTCTAGAAAGTGACATGGTTTTGGCTTTCAAGACTAACTTGAATTGACTGTTAGTCAACTCCAGAACTTATAATTTCAGTCATGCACATAACATTTGCCTCAACAACTTGTCCTTATTTAATCCGAAGCTCATTAAATATGTACTCACATTTTTTGACATACTGCACAAATCATTCAAATTAATTAAACACCAAAATTTAAGCATAAAAGAATACTCATATCTAGCCACCGCTTTTCGTTCTTTTACGCTTCATTTGGCGTCCAATCCATCTTTCACATGCGTCCCCTTTCTTACTACACTGTTATCACGATCATCTCCATTTTTCAAGCGCCCTGTACATAACATGTCACGTTTATCATACATAACATGATACCGTCCACGCTACACAGACTTCTTGCGTAACGACCAGTTGCCACGCGCTTTTCTCGATAGTTCATTGTAAGTAAAATTATCGATGTCGATAAATCTCATATAATAATTTTGAACTTCGTCTAAAAAGTGAAGTTATTGCTATGCAAAAATAGTTTTTATAGCTATCAGTATAAGGAAAGTGGCTGCTAGTACAATCTTACATATTCTGATCCCCTATTCTGTAATTGCATCAACATTATCACGAAAGTGTATATTTCATTCTCTAAGTACATTTGAATATAATTGTCTGATTAATAATAAATGATGAACTAACTGAAGCTAAGAAATTACGAAAAAAGCACAACAAAACATCTCACAATAAAAACCATCGATAAACCAAAATCATCGATAACCACCACATCCCTACAACATTGTGCAATATAGTCATGAAGCATAACATAAACATATCCAAGTTTTTACAGCGACACACACACATGCGCACACTCTAACATGATTACACAGCACACATGCGCAAGGGACGGCCTTATGTAACAGAACACTAATTATTTCAAACAAGTCATATCGATACATATTTTATAACGTTACGTGGCAACACATAATACTTGTTTTTAACCGACTGCAAATGTACATATCGCTGCTAAAATATTGGTAACTTTACGATGTGAACAATAAAAAATTGCGTCTCATTTTTCTCAAAATCGACGACAAACGTCTGTAGTTATTCGTAAAAACTGATTTTCGACACTAAATTGGAGGCTCTTAGGTGTCTTTTTGACTGCTTAAATGGTAGTATAGTGCTAACTTGTAATGTCTATTTGCGAATTATGATATCATAGAAGCTAAGAAAACACGTTAGCAATCTTCCGCATACCCAAGAGAGCCCCTTCTATTGACTTACGACCAAGAATAAATATTTTTCGACACATATACAGTTCAAAGACTCTATTGTAAATGAACAAACAAACTATTGTTTCAAATTTTATTGTTTCCACAAAAATCTGGAACGCGTCTATGAACAGAGCTTCTTGTTCCGAAATACGTATACAATTATACATAAGCAATTTTTCTAGACCTTCCGATGCATATAAAGTGTATGTAAAGACAGGTCAAGTTATACTGGGTATGTGAAGTCATCGAACTTCAACAAAGAATTCGTAGGCAAATACAAACATAAAAAAACGGTTTCCTAAAAAAAATATCCGGCGAAATTAAGAAGTTAGCTCGCTTTGCGTTGGACGTTCGAGCGGTGTTCGTAATTCAAATCGGTCGCGTTGGCGCCCAACGGGATCGAACGGAGTTACGTAGCGAGTACGTCACTTGTACTATACATACACACGTCAGAGTTCGCGAGTTCGTTGTTCCACTAGGCAGTGTGCCAACGGCCGAAGTGTCCCGGACGCACACGAACGCACACCCTACTCACACAACCAATCAACACCCGTTTGTCCACGCACACTATCAACCCACCGCACACTACAGCGACGCAAGTGTGCAAGTATTGAGTAACTAAGCGATGAAGCTAGTTGTCATTGAGAATATAATTACATTGTATTGTTAGACTTACCGATTTTAACTGCGTTTTTTTCGTCGTGTGAATATTAAGGCATGGGAACGATGCGAATATAGGATTCCCTGTTATGTCATTTGTGTCATAAGTTTTTCGTACGCGACGCGAGCGCTCGTGACGGTGAGTAGGGGTACTAATTTTCATTTTCCCTTTACAGCGGTGAAGTTTGGACGTATGTCGAAAAAGCAACGCGAGAAAGTGGAAGATGAGGTGCGATTCCATCGTGCACAGATGAGAGCGCAGACTGATACAGCGCCTGATTCAGTTTATGATGCCCAGCAACAGACACCAAGCTCAAGCGACCAGTTCCATGGTCACTACAACGGGTGAGTAACGCCATCTCTTATCGAAAAGCAACACTATAAACAACATTTTCTTAGTTATGTAATTTGTGCACTTTATGCAATGTGTTAGACTGTTAAAGACAGATAAGCTTTATCAATATGAATTCTATCTCATTGTAAACTTGATGAAGATCTTAAAATCTTTTTCAAGCAACTTCGTAACGAAATATGTGGCACAAGCGTGCAGTATAATTTATTTACGCGGCTGGCTAATAAAATACATAATGGTTAGCAGTCTGGCAACTGAAGTACGTCTCGTTAAAACTCGTAGCTTTCTAGTTTGCCGTCACCGTTGTAATTCATTACTACACGGACTTCAATTTGTGTCAGCGGTGCATCAGAACGCTGCCATTATTGTAAGCGACCAACGGTATACTGTCGTGACGAAGTTGAATGGCGCTTAACGGTAAACTGTAAATACTGCCACCTAGTATCGAGTAGCGGTACTAAGAGTTTCTCATTAAGAATGATAGATGGCGATGTTTTTATACAAGCGTGTTTGAGATGTCTAACAGATTTACGGTTTGTTTTTCATTGCATTTTAACTGTTAAGTGTTAAGGAATGAGGAGAAAATTGTTAATGCGACAGTTTTTGCTTTGAACAGGGATATAACAATTATAAACTGCTATGTGATAGCTGTTTTTATTCTTATTGCATTCTTAGTCGAAGTTCGAAATACCCACGTATTTGCAACACCTGTGCAATAACATTAAACCAAGAAGTAAATGAAATGTAGAATATAATCCGACTTTAAATTAACTAATCCAATTATCAATTCCAGGTACCCAGGCTACGGGTCTCCCCTATCATCATACGGGTACAACAACCCACAGCCACTCCAGTCCAACATGGGTGGAATCCAGCCCCAGCCCACCCAACAACAGCCCTACGATGTATCAGCTGACTACGTCGACTCCACAACAGCATACGAACCGAAACAAACTGGAAGTTTCCTGGACCAGGATTTCATCAGTCATGGTACGTATTTCTGGGTAGAAATTCCAGTCATGACATTATGGGTTAGAATCCCGAATGGATGATTGGATGTTCTGGGTGTGGGTGTATGTTTGTGTTTGTAAATATTGTGTATTCTTCAAATATCAAAGGGTTGAGTTTAAAATCTGAATATCAGATTGAACTATAAAACACTCATGATACAGGTGAAAACATCAGAATCAAGTGATTAGGTAAATCGATACAAGTACACGAAAGTATTAGAAATCAGCTACATAATATATAATTCTCAGTTAGGGTAATTAAACTTAGTAGGCTACAATCACAATAAAAGACATAACTGAAACTTAAATCGAAATTTCTAATACCATCCAAACATCCGAATGGAATTTAACCCAATACCATTATCCATTCCACTAACACCACAAAATTAACTGTAGACGAACAACAAAAAGGGACAACTATAGTACGACCCACCGGTTCCACATCTACGTCGACGGCGACCACATCAACAACATCAATGCGACAATCAACCATTAACGAGATACCACGATCCAGACTCCAAGAATACGATCGCTATGAGGAATCCCGAATCCAGTCCCCAGCATCAATTTCCAGCGGAGTGCTAAATATAAAACAAGAAATAAAACCTGAAACGTCAATGAGTGTCGACAGCTTGGTACCAAGTTATGTGGATTCCACGACATTTTTACACAGTCCGTCGAACATCCAACATAGTCCAATGGACATCCAGAATTCTGTGTTGGTCAGTGGACATAATTCTGTGTCGATGACTAGCGATGACTTGAGTCCTGATGACTTGACGTCAAGTAGTGGGCATGGGAGACTAATGGACCCGCTTAACATGAATATGTCTGGGATGGGTATGGTGAACCCTAATGCCGTTTCCAGAAGATCTCAAGGCGCCAGTCATAGTACGAACGATGATATGCCGTGTAAGTGAATAATATATGGGATTAACGATTTATGCTAAATAATATTTATTTTGCTAGTTTTTTTTTGTTGTTTAGAAAATATTTTCAGTTGGAATGTTATTTTTTTCGTTCGTACGACAGATTATGATTGATATTTCTTAGTTGTCTACAGTAAGATGTGCTTGCTTGGAGGCAGCATACTAAACACTATCGTTTCCTCCATTCTAGACCAAAATCAATGTCCACAATTCCATAATTAAAAAAATCCATTACTTAAGATTACAATTGCGCTTTCTGGATTGTTTCACCAGTTCCACTTACAGCAGTCTCATCGACTAAACTAAAGAGGCATATAATAAAACCAATTTCTTCAAAATTACAATATTTTAATAACAAAAGCATACAATTTATCTGTTATGTAGTCTTTTGAAAGATGAAATCGTTAGTATTATTGTCGACTACCACATTATATCGTTGTCCGTCAAATCCTTCGAAGGGGAAGTAGCGAAGACTACTTCTTAACTGAAAATAAAAAAAAAACCCCATTAAAAACATTAATGTACTTATTATCATGTACCGTCATTACTACATGACTCATAAACTTTAATATTTATCAATAGCTTAATGAAAGAAAATAAATCATTATTAAAAGAGATTCAATAAGCAGTCAGCAAGATTCATAAACTTGTAGTTCATCATCGTCGGTGACCAGTAAAGCCTCGTTCGCACTATGCTAGTATTTCAGCCGAGTAGCGAGTATTTAGTAGTTCTCTCCCGCTTCTGTATCAGAACTAAAGAGAGATTGAGCTACCAAAAAAACTCGTTATTCGACTAAATTACTATCGAAATGCAAACAAGGCATAATTTTTTTATCATTTGGACAAACTTCTAGGATCAAATCTTGGGTCCATGTAGTGATAAAAATAAGCACAACATCTATATATTATTATATAAAAATGAAACCCGTTTCCCATTGTCACGCCATAAATTGAGAACGGCTGGACCGATTTGGCTGATTTTTTTTGTTATTCTTATGACAGAAAAAAACCCTGAAAATCCTACGGGAACGGGAGAAAAAGTCGCGGGTAGAAGCTAGTTTTTATTAATAATAATTATATCACAATTTTAAACCATTCATCATGACAGTAGGTTTCATAAAATTCCTTTATAACTTTTACAACACTATCATTACCGGCATTTTCATTAAAACAAGCTGTTAACCGCCATTTTTAAAACTGACAACAATTCACATTAACACAATAAATTTTGAAGTCTTTACTTCAATATTTTGTAAAATACTTACGCCATTGAAGTAGCCATTAGCTTGGAATTGTTGCTGCCGTCGATTCTGGACACACTGGCCATTCTGGGCATTCTGAGCATTCGGCCCGAAATCCTGTTGTCGTATTATAATCATTGGCAATGGTATCACAGGTAGAGACAAACAGAATGGCAGTAAACAGGCTGCAATATATATAAAAAAACATTAACTAACACGTTGCTGTAACTGTATGACTTATACTGACAATATACATTCAAAACGATGGAAGTCGAATACTGTTTAGATAACTATATACTGTAGCTGAGTGACTGACAAAATGTACAGTCTACACTACCATTTCTCGTAAGCGGAATATTGTGTATAGTTATAAGGGAGTTTAAGAGATAGACAAGAACAGATCTTTCAGTATTTTTTCGGATAAACTTTACATATGAGCGGTAGCTTTTACTCGTATGTAAATAGCTTTATGGCCAAGATTACTATGCCTACTTCCAATTATAATGTACCTAAAATTTAAGAAGACTGGCCGAGTAGATCAACAAATAGAGAAACAGGCTTAAAATGCTTTCATTATATTAATTAAAATACTCTCTACGAATTATTTTATTTATAATCACAAATGCAGTAATGACTGCCTCGTTCGGCGAGTGGTCGCTAATGCGACTGCCGGGCAAGAGGTCTCGGGTTTGATTACCGGGTCGGGCAAAGAATTACTGGGATTTTTTTAGAAAAGGCACTCCTCCACCCCGCCTTATCACTTGGGACTCATAACATAAATAGTGAGAAGTAGGTGTTACATTGTACTGTGGCATATTGTCGTAATGTACACCTCTGTCTACCCCTTAGGGAATAAAAGGCGTGATGTTATGCAAAATTGTACTCACGCCAACAAATGCAACAGCATGTTCCTAAAAGAAATGCTGTCACTGGATCTATAGGCATGATATTAAACAATTTGCCAACATTATCATGATGTAATAATAAATTAGATATAGATATACAGAGAAATAATTAATGAATACAAAACATAGCACAAATTTCAATGACAATGTCACTCTGTCAAAGTAGACATTTTACTAAGCTGTCGTGTATTTTTTCTTTTTTGTTTTGTTCAGAAATTTTTATATATATTTATTTTTTTTGTAATTTTACTTAGTTATGTTGTTTAGAAATTGTTGTACATAATAGAATGCTTGTATACACCCAATATATTTGTTTTCAGTTATACTATTTCGTAGATGTATTTTATTTTTATTATTAAATTGTAGCATAAATACCTTTTGATCATTTATAGAACAACGCCATCTGTCGGCAAGTAGCTGAACTATATTTTCTTTTACAGCGGAGGGCGATATAAGCAAGGTGCTGGTGAAGAGTTTGGCTGAAGCTCATGCGAACACCAATCCCAAATTGGAGTACATTCATGAGATGTTCAGAAAGCCACAGGATGTGTCCAAGTAAGTGTATAAAAATTGTACTATTTTCAAAATCATCCCTTTCAAGACCATTCCCATTGGTATCACATGTTTTAATAAAAAAATCCAATCAATCTCCTTCGATGGGTACCAACTAACTTCAAGAGTAAGACGTCAATGTTGACTACTAAATGCTTACCCAAAATTTCCACTTACATTTAAAGAACTCCCATTTACATTTTAAAAACTCCCATTTACATTTAAAAAACTCCCACCCCACTTATTAATACAATTTAATTTCTTCTAGGCTCCTTTACTTCAGCTCGATGACATACGAGGAGATGTGGCTGGATTGTGCAGACAAATTGACTGGAATGATACAGAACATCATTGAGTTCGCCAAGTTAATACCTGGCTTCATGAAACTGACGCAAGATGACCAGATCCTCCTGTTGAAGTCTGGTGAGTATGGGTATCCATTCGTCATCCATTTTTAATTAGTATTGGGACTTTGGTATTGTCATTACATAGTATAAAACAAAGTCGCTTTCTCTGTCCCTATGTCCCTTTGTATGCTTAAATCTTTGAAACTACGCAACGGGTTTTGATGCAGTTTTTTTTTAATAGATAGAGTGATTCAAGAGGAAGGTTTATATGTATAATACATGCATATTGCACCCGTGTGAAGCCGGGACGGGTCGCTAGTTATTAATAAAAAGAAAATATATAATGTGCATATATTGATTGTGATGTGATGACCGCATAGGATACGTTTATCACTGTGTCAAGTATATGTGAAATTTGTATGTCGTAAACGCAAGCACGGCTCAGTAGAAAATCCTAGTGTAGGGCAACGATTAAAAGACTACCCCTACTGTTTTGATGGATATCATTAGAGTACACTTAAAAACAGCTGTTCAATAGAGATCGGTTAGCAGCATTCGCTCATAACGAACTCTCTTTTAAACTGCGATAATTATCTAACCTGTTTGCTAGGCGGACATTATAGGAATCCTCGCATATGTAGAGTCCAAAAGTGGACTGTCATGACTTATCGAGCTTGATTTTACATTTGACAGTTTTTTTTAATACGACAAATAAATAAATTTTTTTTTTTTCAAAACGTTGCCCCACAGATGTTTTTCAGTGTCAATAATATCAGAATATCCCAAATGTAACATCATCATCATTCATCTACATTTAAATTTCAAATACATAAATGAAATAAAAAAATTAATCTTCTTCATTTTTTCTTCTAGGTTCATTCGAGTTGGCCATTGTGAGACTTTCTCGACTGATAGACGTGAACCGTGACCAAGTATTGTACGGAGATGTAGTGCTGCCTATCAGGGAGTGCGTGCATGCACGGTGAGTTACATTTCATTTCAGAGATAAAGAAAAATTTACATTTAAAATGAGAATAGGACTTTATTATGAATTATGTGGAGTGTGTTTGTGAAACAATATTTGACATTTTATTTTATAGTTACATTTAAATTCAGAATTTTTCATTTAAATAATGAATTAATAAATTGATTCTTTTTAAATTAAAATTAATTTTGAACAAAAATAGAATGGTTTACTATATTTTGTGAGCATGTTGTGTTTAGTTTGTTAAAACGTTTTTCTATGAAAATTTCCAGTGATCCCCGTGACGTGGCACTAGTGGTGGGTATATTTGAGGCGGCGAAGACTATCGCGCGACTCAAGCTGACTGAGACTGAACTGGCGCTCTACCAGAGCCTTGTGCTTTTGTGGCCAGGTAAGAATCTAACGTATTTTATTTATTTTACTTATTTTTGGTTTCCTTGCCTTTTCAAACTAGACTATGAGAGATTAGGAATATTAATGAATAACAAAATTAGCTCTCAAGTATTATCACTAATCACTTATAGGACAATGGTGACAATTCAAAGAGTTCATGTCATGAAGAAGCCTCATCACTTTTTTGGTATAATGATCTCTTATTTCGAATCCTTACCCCAAGTTACGTTTGATCGTCTCTCCATATTATCTTCTTCATTCATATCTTTCCATTTTAATCCACAGAGCGACACGGAGTCCGCGGTAACCCTGAGATCCAGTGTCTGTTCAACATGTCGATGGCGGCTATCCGGCACGAGATCGAGTCCAACCATGGACCCGTCAAGGGTGACGTCACAGTGCTAGACACACTGATCAACAAAATACCCAACTACAGGTATGCTTCATTAATATTTCTTGTTATTCTTGTTTCTGACTTTATTCCGACTTACATAATAGTTATGTTGTAAATTATTATTGCCATACACCGGCTCAAATCTAGACAGTCATTGCTAAAAAAAATTCGAAAACTTGAAGTAAATCCCAAAAAACACTACTGCTCAAATCGGAAATCAAATCCTAAGCAATTGATAATTCTAGCCTCACTTTGACGTATGAGACAATCTCAACTACCTTTTTTTGTAAAAGATGATCATAGAACTGATTTATAAATGCTAATATTCTATTTCATTTGTTTACAGAGAACTGGCGCTGATGCACTTGGAGGCATTGTGTCGTTTCAAGGCGGCGCACCCCCACCACGTGTTCCCAGCACTCTACAAAGAGCTGTTCTCACTGGACAGTGTCCTGGACTACACCCACGGCTAGGCCCACAAGGTCTACCCCCAGGTTTCTCTCAGATTTCGTTAGAACGATCTCATTTTTGCCCAATATAGCTGGACGGTGGCATTTTGAGACCTTTTCAAAGACTCTAGACAGCTTGACAGCTATTTTTTTTATTAATTCCCACTGCAAAACTAAACGCATATAAATATTTGTTGATAATATATTTATAATTGTATGTATGTACCTTGAGACTGTTAAAATATTTACTTAAAAGTATGTACGTACAATAATTAAAAAGGAGGTTTATTTAATTCGATTCTAGTTACATTTAAATGCGTTTAGCTTTACATTTAATCTCAGAATATATGATTTTTTTTTTCATTTGTTATGAAAAATTCTCTTATTATTTTATTTTTCGTAACAAGAATTATATTATCTAGCGTTACACACATATTTGTGGTTTATTTAATGCATAATTAGACATAGTGAATGTTTGATTGTGTATTTGTATACAAAGGAATATCGTAATTTAATTATCGTAAAGTGTATCTAACTCTGAATGAAGAAATAATAATAATTATTATATAAAGATATAATAATAGGGATAGAGTTTTTATTAAGGAATAAATAAAAAAGTTATAAAAGTGTAGCAAGTTAAAGATCACACGGTTTCAGCCGAACGGAACTTATTTAAACATAGGATTCTTTTTTTATTAATTTTAACGGTTTTTTTAAAGATGTAACTTGTTATTTATTTCAAATGATTATTAATTATTATTATTATTGATGTTTTTTCGCCTCTGTAGATTTTCGTTTTAAGTTGTAATATAGGATACATTATACTGCCCGTTTTGTATTTTTCGTTGTTTTTATTTTGAAGTAATAAAGTACATATTATGGCGAATATGTTGAAGCGATGGAAAAATGCAAATCATAATTATATTTAATTTTAAGTCGAGTAACAGTCGTGCGTTGAACAAAATTTTTTTAATGAGAAAGCCCTTCAGGTGTTATCAAATTTTCTCGGACAAAAAATCTTGTTTTTTTTTTTGTAATAATTAGCAGGCAATTTTAATTTTTTTCTTAGTTTTTTTTTTCATTTTCTCGCGCGTAGACTTTATTGATCTCATTTTTTGTTTCTTAATCTTTGCTTAGGTGCCATTTGGAGTTATGTCACATTTTTTGCATAATAAGACGAATCAATAACAATTAAAACTTAAAAAAACTACAATTGAATGCATAATAAGAATACCTGTTGTTGTTTATCCGTTGATACGTAAATTTTATTTTTACCATTTTGTTTTTTTCTTTTTTTTTGTATTTTTAGCTTTTTTGTGCAACTTAAATACGTATGATATATATATTGATTTAATTTAAATTGCCTGCTACTAATAATTAGGTATATGGAGTAACCGAACGTCAGTTTTCTAACACTATACTAAGTTGTCGAATAGCCTTTACTATAGACTGGATTATAATTAATGTTATAAAAAAAGTATAAATCTTAACTTGTATTTTGTAAATAGTTATTAATCATATGTATTTTTTATTAAATATTATGAGGTTTAATGGGTTATCTTTATTTTTTCATTCTTTTAAAACAAATCCAAATATCGAAACACTTTTCATTTTGACTTTGAAATAACATCTTCATGGTCATTCGAAAATGTTGTTTTTTAACCTTTTTTCCATATATTTTTTGTTAATAAAGCAGTCTGTTATTGCCTAGTTTGTTTTATTTTTTTTTAGTTCCTTATTTTCCTTTTTTTTTAGTTTTATTTTTGAAGTTTTAGTTTCATAATTTTTAGTTTCTGATAAAATAAGATAATCTTAATAGTGAGAACATATAGATGAAACATACGGGTGGTTCAAATATTAATTTTAAACATAATAATAATAAAGTACATTTTAATTTCTATTAAAACTCAGATATATACGTAGAAATAATTAATTTTAATATTTCCACAACTATTAGTATATATGCAATACAGTTTTTCAAAGAGTGTGTCAACTCTTCTTTCGCAAAAAATAAAAAAAAATATGTAAAAAACTAGGCGCACACTTTAGATTATTTAGAAATTATGTTTAGCTTCTAAATGGGAATGTCCAATTTGTAAATTATCATTTCAAATTGTAACAAAATAAGAATAAAATAATATATTACACTATGTCAACCAATAGCTCTTATTTATAAAAACAAATCTAATACTTATGTACCTATACAACATGATTATGTTCAAAATGACAATTATATGTGATTTTTTTCATTTTTTTGTTAATTTTTTCATTTTATTACTGAGAATTGGACATTTCCAATGAAAGGTTACAAAATAAAGTTAGTAACAAAAACGAAAATATTGGTGAAAACGTTTTAGAGCACTAAGACTGAAAAAATTGGCTGAAAAAACCTATTACCTTCGCTTATCGACAAAAGATTATAAAAGACACCAGTAATAAGCAATAAAAATTTATTGCTAACATTGCAAAAAAATAGAAAAAAATATATCTAATTAGCAACAGATTCTTGACTCTAAGATTCAAAATGTAACCGTTGAGACCGGCCATGTAACACGAATTTATTTATTTGAAAATAAATCGTAAAAGGGTTTTCTACACACTTGCGATTTTGCGACAAATATGTATTGAACTTTTTATTTATAACATTATAAATGTTTTGAATTATGAGTGTTTTTCAGTGTGTCTACAGAATTTATTTCGTTATTATGTCATCTTTAAATTAATAAAAAACTTAAAGGCTGAATATAAATTAATTAGATGTTTAATGAAAGCAATATGTTTTCAGTATTGTTTTTCAGAGATTTGAATGTATTATTAATTATAATTTGATTTTTGCGTGTTTCAGTAATGTTTATTAGATTGGTCTGTATCAAATTGTGACTTAAAGAATTTAAGGTGAAATAATTTTTGTTGGTTAAATATCTGTAAGATGGCATTGTAATCAAAGATCGTTCGCAGTCTGTCATATTTAGATTTGAAAAAAAAACGCAAGTTGCAAAAAAGTCGCAAGTGTTTTAAATCCCTAAAAAATAATGCCGTGTCCACAACTTTGTGCAATACTTAGACTTGATTGGTGCAAATTGAAGGGTGAAGAGAGTCGCTCTATGCCTCTCTTTCGCACTTAAGCGTTGAATGTCAGTGCGATAGTGATAGTTATATAGGGTAACGTTTTACTTGCTGGTAGTTTTAGTAGGTATTTCTAAAACTTTTGTACTATGTTTTGCAAAATTTTCACTAAAAAACTTAATATAGATTTGGACACGTAAAGGATAGGATAAAAAAAAAATGTATTTTGGAAAAAGCAAGCATGATGTTAAGGGAATATAAGGTATCGGGTGTCTGTGTGTTTTTTACAAGAATTGGTTCGATTTTATTATTAGTATATTATATTACCTATATAAAAAGTAAAAGTCTTTTTTTAATTTCTATTTAATTCTTTTCTAAGAGTATTCTATTTTGTAAAACGGTACCTACGACTTTACGGGTATCTAAAAAATCATTATCTATAAATAAATACATAGTTGAAAAAAATAAAACAAATAAAAATAAATAAAATTTTTGTACTTCTTGTTTTTCTATGAGATGATTTATATTATCAAAAAAATATTAATTTGTTAACGAAATACATAATTAAGTATTTTTACACATTACCTGAACATATGAAGAGTAACAAATATATGAAGATAATTAATAAAAAAAAAAACATAATAATAAATAATAATATATCTACATATATGTAAAGAACAGAAATATATTAAAAATACATATTTTGTATGCGCGGTGCGATCGAAAATTGTAACAGATACAAAAATTGTGACAGGTAACAAAGTTTTTATTATAATTTTTTTTATTTTTTTTTGTAAAAAGTTTTCGATTGTGTCGCGCATCGGCTTTGTTGGTTTATGAACTCAAATACAAAAAAATACATTGTACCTATGTACCTAAGTAGTCAATGGTGAATTTTGAGAACCAATAGTAAATAAATGTTATTGTTTTAATTATTATTATTCTCGAATCACTTGCAAATGCGTTGTTGTTTCATTTATTATACCTTTACCTTTATGTTCCTGATATCACATCGGGCTCACGACTATAGGTGGCCCGCGACCGCTGCCATTGATGATTGCGTTCGGTTCATTCACTCACTTAGGCTAAGGGCTCACGAAGTCATTTTCTCGAGCGCCCACCGCAGTTTCGGGCCCACAGCGTTTGTAAAATACAGATATGTATATAAAAAGTTAAAGCACATTTCACGACGCATGTTTACGGCTCCTGCAACACCGACAGGCGCAGCCGCGGCGAGTTGTATGAGCCGGAAATCGAGCAGACGCATCTCCTGATGGTAAACAGTCGGCGTCGCATATGTACACCTGGAAGACCAGAGGCGTTACAACTACGTTACTAACCTTTTGGGGATTAGAAATTTGAAGGTTGTTGGGGATTTAGGGTTTGGGGAAATTGAGGAAGGAGGGGGGATGGTGTAATCGGGCTTCCAGTAACCTCACTCACATGACTAAACACAATGCATGGGTTGTTTCATGTCGGTTTTATGTGAGGCCGTGGTATCACTCCGGTTGAGCCGGCTTATTCGTGCCGAAGCATGCCTCTCCCACATTTCAATTTAATATCAATATGTGACAATCTGTAAGTTACTGGGTGAGGCCTTTGCAGCAGAACAGTGGGATTCCTTTGGTGGATATGACGATAATGAAATAATGAGGAGAATAACATTAATAAAAGTACTGGGCCGATTTAAAAAATTCTTTCACCAATAGAATGCTATATCCAATTTGACATAGGCTACATTTCATTTTGAAAAAAATTAGGGATCTTTGGTAAAATTTGAACAATGTAACCGAAGGTGTAGAAAAATGAGTCTTAAAATGTCTTTCGTCTAATGCGCTGCCGAAGCTATTAGCGATAGAACAAAATAATATACAACAATATTGAAGAACATCACAATGTCTACAAAAAACTCCGCGGTAGCATATGTCCAACTATTGTAGTTATGTCACTACAATAATCCAAATATCCAAAAATAAATAATTGTCTACCCCGTGCGAAGCCGGGACGGGCTGCTAGTTAGTTAGAAAATAAAAGACACTGATGTCAAGTAACTTGAGAGAAAAATAAGAAGCAGTAATTAAGTAGGTAGTAGATTGATTTTTTTTTATGCGATAAGCCGGTAAACGCGCAGACGGATAACCTGATGGTAAGCAATCGGCGTCACCCATGGACACCCGAAACACAGGGTGGCATTACAAGTGCGTTACCAGCCTTTTGGGTATTAGGAATTTGCGGATTGTGGGGGATTCGCGTATTGGGGAGACTAAGCCTCACACGTAACCTCACTGATACGACGAATAACAAAGCAAGACTTGTTTCAAGTCTGTTTTCTGTGAGGCCGTGATATCACTCCAGTCAAGCCGGCCCATTCGTACATGACTCTCCCACACTTAAATGATTGATGATCACGCTGATGTATCGTGGTATATATTATAAAGTTCGTTAAATTTACTCTTGTTAGAAAGTCAGGACTTCTCCTTCCTGTTCTTTACTTTACACGACAGGGTAAGCAATGTAATCCACTTACCCTGGCTTTAGTATTAAATGGGTAATTTATGATTGGATGGTCGCAGAGAATTTCAAATTCGAATCACTTATGTATTAAGCGGGTCGATTTTCGTACATAAATTGTAACTAAGGAATAAATAGGAATATTTGATAATTCTTCCAAACTAAAACTTGTCAAATGTCAATTTTATTCTTCAGTTAAAAATTAAGTGACGATTGAACTATCTAAATTATTTTTTTTAAACTTAATGATTAAATAAAAC